AGTTATTCATGCAGAAGCATGTACAGCAGAACACTGCTCCTTTGATTTTATTTGTACTTTTGGCCTGGGATGTGGGTTTTAAATGGACATTGTCTGTACCAGCTTCATTAAAATAAACAATATTTGTAAAAACCTTAAGAAAAAGAAACGTGGAGAGGGGGGCTAGGGATGTAGCTCAGTGTCAGTAGTGAAACATTTGGCTAGCATGTACAGGGTCCTGGGTACAATCCCCAGCTCCACCAAAGAATGAGAGGTGGCACCAATGAGTGAAAGGACTACCTGAGCCATAAAACCCCTCTTTGCCACTCCGTCAAGCAGCAAGAAGCAAAGAGATCATCCTGCTCACCTACAGGAGCAAGTGAGAAAGGGTTCCAATGTCAGTTGGCATGTTCCCGCTGCCATCCTGGCCTCTGAACAGGGATACATGGCTGGAATCCATAGGAAGTAACTGGCACAAGGCAAAGACTGTTTCAGGACTGACCCTGCTCCCAGCTACTTATTGGCACACTGTGAATAACAGCCATACTACCATGGAGCATATTCTAAATACCTCTCAAAGTTCCAGCACCAGGCAAGCATGGTTCTCAGAGACCCAAAACAGCTTCTCCCRAAGGGCATGAAAATGAACAGAAGTGAGCCTTCCTCATCCTTGGTTTTTCTGTCTGAAATGGTAAGACAAATGTTCTACACTATGGGAGTCTGGGTAGCACTGTTGAGGCTCTGGAAGTGGTCTCTTCCATCCTTCCTGATGTTCCYTACTCCTCCTAGTGGCATCAGTTAGCCTCAGCACTTTCCTTGGCTCATTTGCATTCCAATCTGATCCTTTTCTTTCCTTAGAGATAAGTACCTGTCATCCTGGGAAAATCAGCTTACTCCTCCTTTAAGAAAGGGAGCCTTCACCTGGGGTCACTCACCCCAGAGCTGGCCCATCATACATCCAGGGACATCAGGTGTCTCCTGGGATTACCCTAGGCACACCAAGACATAAAGTCACCCTAACCATTTGGATACTACTCATCTGACTTGTAAGAATTAAATAAATTTACACCTTGGTACAATGTGTGGTATAATGGAGGATTTAATTAAGGAGCCATTGTTAACAATAGTCTTCCTTTGATTTCAGTTTGCTGTGTACTATGTGACCTGGTATTTGCACCTCCCTTCCATGTCTCTCTTCTTTCCTCTGTCTCTTTCTTTATCCCTGTCCTTGGCTTATTGCCCTCTTCATTTCTGGCACCAGACCCATGCCCCTGACTGCTGGCATTACCGAGGGTTTTACAACTTTGCTTACCCTCTTTTTGCTTGATCCAGGGCTGGTACCAGCCAAGCCCATTATTCTGGGTCCTCACCTGTGTGATGAAGTTGTTGCTTCACTTCCCCGACCTTGCTCTCAGACCTGGGCACTCCTAGGAGTTAGGGGCAGGGTGGGGTCAGGGCTGAAACCCATTTGCACAAGACACATTCCTATTTTATGTTTTATTAACAAGTTTATTTTTCAGGCGAATACTTCCCTTTCCACCCTTCCTAAGTTCACCCTTGGGCTCCTGTACAAGGATCTCACAATGTCTTCTTTTTATAGGTGGACACATACCCTGAAATCTTCAATGCTAGAGGCAGTCATTTTCATGTGCTCAGAAGTTTCTGCCTGGTAGCTCTTCACTGCCACCTGACTGCTTGCCTCCAGAAAGGAGAGCACAGGTGACCACAACTCTGTCTCTGCAGGGAGTAGGGAGTTGGGGAAGGGGAAAAGTCACCTGACTGGCTCAATAAGTAGTTTAAAATCTGAACGAGGACGGGAAACTGAAGTCTAAAAGGGATCTGGGGCCAAATAGTATCCCTCCCTGAAAAAACTCCTGAGTTCCCAAGGGGGCGCCCGCATTCAGATCAGTAAGATGASGGCGGCACAGGGTGTTAGCTGTTGCCCCCAGTTTGCTCCAGTTTTCCGATCTCTGTTACAGCCTACTGCTTCTCAGGCTAGAAAGCGCTGCGGGGACAGCTGCCGCTAGGCAGGGTCGTCAAGTAGAGCTGATCCGGTCTGGGATTGCTGTTTTCATTTCCCGGGAGGGTAGGGAAGCGCAAAGTGCAGGCAGGGCAGAAAGGAGCCCGGAAACCAAGAGCTGTCAGTCCCTGACCGGGAGGCAAAATAGGAGAAAACAGGTCCTAGTGAGCGTGGCCGCGAGATGGCCCATCTGATTGTGCTCCGCAGGGCTCCGAGGGCGGTCAGGTGCAAAGGGGCGGAGGCTCTGGTGCTCAGGCAGTGCGTTCGGGGCGGGCCAGCCGGCGGGGCATTTAAACCCCCGCTGACCGCCGGCSAGGGACACGCGCAGGCTCCGCGCCCTCCTGCGTCGACTCAGCTTCGGGTACCAGCCAGGCAAGATGCGGTCTTCCCTGGCTCCGGGTGTCTGGTTCCTCCGCTCCTTCTCCAGGGACAGCTGGTGAGCTAGGGGAGGGAGGCGCGCTGCCCCAGCTCGTGGCTGGGGGCGGGCAGGGACCGCCAAGTAGCCTCCGGAGGCCAGACTAGGTCCGCGGTGGCCCTACTCCCCGGAGGGGCCGGAGGGGCAGTCTGGCAAGATCTGGCCCCCGGGCTTTTTCACCTACACCAACCTGGAAGGTTGATAACACACAGACCCTGCCTAACTGCGTTCTCCTACTTCTCAGTGACACTGATGAACAATGGGCTGCCTGGCAGAGCCCCCACACTTTCCCCTTTGTCATCCTCATTTTCAAACAGGAGCACATACTCAGACCGCCTCACTGCCTCTTGTAGCCCTGAGCACCTGGGGGCTACACGCTAACTAAGGAACCTAGGCCGCGGGTGGTGGACCAAAAAGGTGGCTATATATTGGAGTTGTCCCTTTCAGTTTGTTTTAGCCATAGAGTAACACAGAAACCAGAACTCAGTGGTCCTGGCAGCTTATCTGGAGGAGTTCCAGGCCCTGGGAGACTTGGGACTGTATCTGTAACAGCTCCCAGCTGGGTGGTCGCCCCCAAACAGGTGATCCAGCTCCCAGAGTACATGTCCTCCTGATCACAGTGGCCATGTGATGGCCTGGTGGTGGGTGGACAGGTTTCAGACATTCTTCATCAGAGCAATTTGGAGCATTTTGCTTGATCTGCACAGTAGTGTGTTTTTTTTTCTTTAATATTTTGGTGGTTGCCATCGTTTACAACTTATAAAATTTAACAAAAATAGCCAAATTCGAGGCTTCTCTTGAAAAACATATGACATATTAATGCCAGGCCTTAATTCCCAATTAAATTAATAGGAATTAAAGGTCACATCAGATAGGTCAGGTACTTTCAAGGCAACAAATTTGTCCTGGTTTTAAAATAGTCTTTCGTTCCCAACTTTCTCAGTTCTGGGCAAATGAGGACACTTGGTCACCTAGGCACTTTGAATTGGTTGATAGTACTTTTCATTTCCAACCTTCTTCATTCATTTAGATTACTTACCTGGTCATTTTTGAGTTTGAGACTATTAAATGATATTTTTTCAGAAAGATAAGATCATGACTTTCATAAGAATATAAAAATTAACTTGTTAAAGATTTTCTTTTAGGGCTTGGGCTTATGGCTCAGTGGTGGAGCACTTGCCCAGCATGTGTGAGGCACTGGGTTTGATTCTTAGCACCAGATATAAATAAATAAATTAAATAAAGGTCCATCAACATCTTAAAAAAATATTTTTTTAAAAAAATTTATAATGCAGAAGCCAGAAGATGTTACAATTGGTTCAAAAGAGAATCCCGGGAGGGAAAATGGACAGTTAGTGTCTAGTGCATATGGAGTTTCAATTTGCAAAGAAAAATGAAAAAAAAAAATAGGAGTGATGGATGTACAATAATGTGAATGTACTTAATGCCATTTAAAATGGTTAATATGGCAAATTTTATGGTATGTACCTTTTACCACAATTTAAAAAACCAGAATCCAAAGAACATACCCATTTACAATTTGGGAATATTAAAGCCACACTGCTTTTTCCACAGGTTGGGATGGAAAACTATTGGAATTATTGTTCATAAACATATTTTACATGACTTATTGGTTTGCTACCATTTCAAAAAACTGTAAAATAGCTCAAAGTCAATGTAAAGCTTGAATCAGATAAGTGAAAGCTGGATTCAGATAAATTGAAGGTATATCCTCTAAACAATGCATAGTTCTGTTTTGTTTTCCTCCATAGACTCCCCTGTTTTGATGATGATAATAATAATTATTATTATAATCTCCAAGAAAGATTATTCTTGATCACGAAATAAAGCTGGTCCCATTAGATTTGATCTCATTATTTACTAAGACACAGCAAGAATATTAATTAACAGAGCTTGTTAAGTTTGCTTTGCCAAAAGTTTTCATGAGGAATCCTGGGTTGGACTTTTAAAGCCTTTTCTTATTTATTGTCCTGAGGTTAATAAACCATACCAAGAAACTGTTTTCACTAGGTTTTACTTGCTGTTCATATAACTTTTGGCAAATGCCTCTCTTTTCAAGGTCCCCCAAATCTCTTAAGCTTCCTGGATGCTACAAATGAGTGACATTCCTTTTTGCCTATAACGTTGGGAACTCAGCAAGCTACTTTTCTTGGAAGTGTTTTATTAGTATTGGCTCCAAACAGTAAAACTTAGTTCTTTAAAAGGGGCTGGTTATATCTGATAAGAGAACATCTTTGTCAAACACAGTATTCCAGCCAAAGACTTAGTTACATAACCAATTTTTCTAATTATRTGTCAGTTTTTAAAAAGTCAGAGAGGAACAGGGAACAGATTCTTATTGAACCTTTGCAAATAGTCATATTACCATGAAAAACAAGAACCATGGGGCTGGGGATATGGCTCAAGCGGTAGCATGCCCGTCTGGCATGCGTGCGGCCCGGGTTCGATCCTCAGCACCACATACAAAAAAAGTTATTGTGTCCRCCGATAAATTAAATATTAAAAAATTCTCTCTCTCCCTCTCTCACTCTCTCTTTAAAAAAAAAAAGTTAAAAAAAAGGAAAACAAGAACCAATAGAGTTTCTGAATTCTTAGGAGTTAGATAGGAAAGATAAGACATTTATTAATGTTTCATTTCAATTTATAAAAGTGAAGTCTACTAAATTGTTATGGGTTGCAGATTGCCTAAGAAAAAAGACAAAGGTCTTCCTTACACTTATATCCTGGAAATGGAACATAACAAAAATATTCAAACATATGACAGTCATCCCTCATTAGTCCATTTAGTTCCATGTGATTAATTTTTTTGTTCCACACAGTCTTGGGTTAGCAATCTCATAAACCCATCCGTTTTAGGCAAGGTCAATAGGATCACAAGTTCAATGCTAGCCTGGGCAAGTTAGCAAGACCTAAAAAAGGCAGCTGGGCATGGTGGTGATTACCTGTAATCCTCACTGGCTGGAGAGGCTGAAGCAGGAAGATCATAAGTTCAAAGCCAGCCTTAGTAACTTAGCAAAGCCCTAAGGAACTTGGCAAGACCCTGTATCAAATTTAAAAAATAAATAAATGAGCTGGAGATGTGGYCCAGTGGTCAAGCACCTCTGGGTTCAATCCCTGGAACCAAAATTAAATTAAATTTAAAAAGGCCTGGGGATATAGCTGGGTCATAGAACACTCCTGAGCCAATCTCCAGTACCACGAAAACAGTCGAACACAAAAACATCCATTTCTTGATTAAAGAGTCCAGGAGCTCCTAACTCAATTCATTAGTGTGTTCTCAAAGTTGCTCAAGTGGTGCCATCAGAACTCTGTACCCAAGAGTAAGTGCTTGTCAGAGATAGTTGTTAATGATAAAAAAAAAAAAATTGGGGGGCTGGGGTTATAGCTCAGCAATAGAGCACTCACCTCGCACATGTGAGGCACTGGGTTTGATCCTCAGAGCACCACATAAAAATAAATAAATAAATAAATAAATAAATAAATAAATAAATAAATTGTGTCCATCTTATAAAAAAAAATCTTAAAAAGAAAAAAAATTGGCCTATTTGATTGCAAAGTCTTTAGGAGGCATCAGAACAAAATAAAAACTATTTGTAGATGACATTTAAAAACTGCTAGTTAACTTATTACTGATATTTTTCAAGTATGAACAGTCTCATGAGAATTATGACAAAAATAATTCAACTGACAAGAAAATTTGTTTGCTTTTGTAGTATTCAAAACAAAAAGGAGCCAATACAAATAACAATAGCAAAAATCTATCCAGTGTTTAAAAACATAATAAGGCTAATTCACCACCATGTACCTCTCTGAAGAGCCTCAGTTTCCTTCACCAGTAAAAATCAGGTGGTTTTGAAGATACATATGATAGTCTGTGTAAACATGTTGGACCTCCATTGGCTGTTAGAGGGTGCTTGATGGGTGTTCTTGCTTCCTAATGAGCATGGGTTTGGATTCCTATCAAGCGTCAAATGAGATGTAGTTCTGCTGCAGGTGCTTTATTGCACTTCACTCTGAGGCCTGCAGAGACAATTAAGACACTATCCTATCTTCTCTGAAGTAAGGGTAAAGCTGGAACAGGTTGTGTACACACAGTCAACAATTTTGGAAGGCACTGCTTTGTGTATTGAGTGTCAAAATGTGATGTTTTGTATGTGCCATGTCTTTTAGAGGTCATTTGAGTTGATTTTGAAGGAAACTGCCTTTTTGAACATGTCTGATACATAAGGTATTAGAGATTATAGTATAATTTGCTTGGCATATAGAAAACCTGATAAAAATGGTGGYTTTTCATCTTCAGAGATGGTATTACTATGGCTAGATGTTAATCCAATTTATCTTTAACCTGTGTTAAACAAAATATAGGCTGGAATGGAGGCAAACAGGATAAGAACTTACAGTCTGAAATAAAATTAGAAACAAACTCTATAACAACAAATTCCACTATTATGTAAAATAATATAATATATAATGCACCAATAAAAAAATCTTACTGTTTTCACATGTCTCCAAGGAGAATGTTAAAACAGAGGTAAAGAAAAGAACATAAGAAGCTAGAGGGTTATTGGCCCTGGGCTTTGGACTCTTCATCTATAAAATGGGGATATAGTAGTATACTTCATAAAATTGTTGTGAMGTTTAAATGGGGTACTACATGTACTTATATTGGTGCCAGGCTCATATTAAGCACTGAGTAATCATTAGTTATCAATGATTATTCTATTCACTCTTCCTACTAATATGTGCCAGGCATTATTAATTTATAATTCTTTTAGAACTGCAAGGTATTAGTTTTCTCATTGAACATATGGGTAAAATGAGGCACAGAGAAGTTATGTAGCCTGCCCAGCATCACAAATGACTGGTAAATGACTGAATTGAAGTTTGGATCTGGATTAGTCTGACTCTAAAACCTATGGTCTTCCCACTGTCCCACCAATGGTAGTGTGGGGTAGTGACATGGCCATTTGGCCTTAGACAAATCAATCTCTCTAAGGCTC